TCAACTTGGACAAATAGGTTTTTGTTGGTTAAGTGGCAAGCAAATTGTTTCCGTGATTCATATTAATAAGCGTACACAATTGAACAAAGAATGTTGATTGTAGTCCAGCGGATGGAAGTTTGCAATGCCAATTTATGTCTTGGGTTCGACACCCATCAGAAGCATTTCAGTTTTGGTTTTAAGTTATTACTACTGGGAATAAGCCCGCGCTTCGCTGCGGGATGATTCATATTAATAAGCGTACACAATTGAACAAAGAATGTTGATTGCAGTCCAGCGGATGGTAGTTTGCAAGCCTAATTTTTGGCTTGGGTTCGAAACCCATCAGCAGCATTTCATTTTTGGTTTTAAGTTATTGCAGTTGTACAACATTTGAAGGCTTCTGATGCCAATGATGCCCTTGTGGGGGCTATCTTACGAGAAGTCATCTTTATGTTGCAAGAATTGCCATTGGTTTCTGTTGCTTTTACTCCTAGAGAAGCGAATCGGGCTGCCCATGTTGTGGCACGTAATGCCTTATGCTACTCTGGCTCTTGTAATGTTCGTTTTAATTGTTCTTATTTGCTTTGACTATCATTTCACGAAGAAGGCGTTGTATTGTGGCTCTCTCGTGCTTACCTAGTTAATCCGCAAGGGTTTCTATGACAAAATACAATAAAATAAGCCCGCGCTGCGGGATGTGTTTTATTTTTGGACACCAATTTTCGTCTCAGAATCTGTGTTTTTCCCCTTGCAACTTATTCCATTAAGGACATCTGCATATCAATATTGTCTAACACTGAATATAGGTACATATGCAAAAGTATTTCCCAAAATGTGTCCTAAGCATTCACAATAGATTCACAGTTTGACTGAACTACCTGATTAAGCCAGGTGGTAGTTGTTGCTGCGAAATAGACAGATCAACAAAGATCTACAAAATATGTGCATCATGTTCAGTGAACGACATGTACATGACAAAAGGCTAGACCAAAAGTGTTGTCAATTATGTCAGGGCTTAGGTAGAAACAGCAAAAGGCAGTCAATCAGTAGCAGTTTTCCTGATTCAAAATGTAGCTGGTCGAAGTTGATGTTCAATCGTCGAAAGCACAGCGATCCCAAAGTGTGGCAACCCTGATGTGCGGCACGGTGCTCTGACCTGGGTTTGGCCATGCAATGTACAGTTCTGCTGCGAAGGTCTTCTCGCAGTTTTTCTTGATGATGTCTTTTATTTCATCTTCGTTCAGTTTGAGATACTTTGCCGGCATCATGCAGAGTATTGACAGAGCTGCCTCGTGGTTGAGTACAACATCGGCCTCGGATGATTCAGATTTGCACCTTGCCTCGATTTGGTAATGTAGTCTGGTCATAATAGAAGCTCGTTAGCTTTGTTGAGAATAATGCAAGCGTTCCTTGCCAAAAGTGCAAACCGGTCAATTTAAATATTTAATCTCACTTTGGCGTTTCCCGAGTGGTTCTGCAAATGTCGATTTTGCATTTGACATGAGTGAACTTGATTATGGTTGGGTAGAGGGTCTGAAATATAAAAATTGTTTTTGCCAGGTTAGAGTGCACGACAATAGCAAGTGAAACATATTTGAATGTTGGGATTTTTCAAAGCATCATAATATACCTCACGATGTTGTGGTATTGAACTCAAGTCTTCTTTTATCTGAGCAAGTGTTCTTCTTGGGGGGCGAGGGTAGCGTAAGTATCCCATCCTTTCAGCTGTTCCATAGATTATGTACTTGATCGGTTTGCGGCATGGCAGAAACCTGAGTTTTGCAAATAGATGTCTATGTTAGGCTAAGTTGTTGCAATGAAAGCATATTTGAAGTGAACAAATTGTCTTAGAGATTGTTAGGAAATCAATACCTGTTCATGACTCTTTCAGTGGTCTCATTGTATGAACTGATAATCAGACGACTGGTTTGTGTCGATTCCAGCTCATATATACCATCATCGTTGCATGCATGGGGCACGGAGACTACCGATGTAACTGTGGTTATCAGCGGGAGGTGCGACTCTACATCTGCTGCTTGTTGGAGGTAACCAGCGACATCGTAGCCACAGTACTTCACAACAACCTTGTTCCCACTGTTTTGCAAATGCAAACAAAATATAAATTATTCGCTGTCGAAAGTTTTAAAGATCTAAGGTACATAGTTTAGTATACCTGTAGTCTTCAATAACCAGATGGAAATCAAGCATGCCATCTTGGAGGGCATTTGGTAATGTGATTCGCCGTACGCAGCCTGTGACATCTGTAATTGCATAGATGTTATGGGATTTTTAGTGTGTGTTGGTCGTGAAAGTGATGTACATTGTTTTACTTGCGTGGCAGTGGAAACTTTCAAACTTTGCAGGGACCATTGAGAAATGAGAGTTCAGGAATGAGTCGAGGGGAAACTTAGGATTGTTCTGGTCTTCTTCGATGTTGTCAATCAGTTGGTCAGAGTTCATGAGCAGCCGCAGTTCTCCTGGGACAATGCGTTTGTTCTTACTCGAGGGGATTGTAACGATAATGCTTAGGCGATACAGACGACCAACTTTGATCCTCGCCATCACGTCATCAATGTCCTTTTCATATGCCAGAGCTTCAATAACTCGTTTCTGCGGGATTAGCAGGTGTAAAAGAATGTTATAGATAAGCAGCTGGTGTTTTTTTTGCTGGGAAATCGTAAACAAACCTTTTTGTCCATCCAGAGCATGCGCAATGCTGGCGTTTTCCAAACCTTTCCGTCAATGACTTCTGTCCACGTTTTTAGAAGCCGAGCTATCACAGTACGGTTGTTGGTTCCCAACCGCAAACCTCGAAACGTCATCGAAGCACAAATGGGGTCTACAATAGAGACAAGAAACACACTAAGTGGAGTCACCATTTATTGTAAGGTTTTGCGAATCAATTGAATCCAGTACCAATTTAGACCTACAGAAACACAAACATCGAACCTTGGAGATCGGTGGGGTCCTCGTAATCCCGCGAGGCGACTGGGTTGTCTCGGCGGAAAACTGCCATAGTTCGTTGGTCCGCTGCGATCGTAGTAATCTTTATTAGAGGAATATGATGTTTTCTACTGAGTGGCGTGCTTAGGACCAGATAGTGACATACCTTGGAGCTAGGGTTTTCACCGTGGTCGAAAGGGGCAGTTTTTACCGCCGATGCCAGCGAAGATCTGGAACGAGGTCTGTGTTGTCGAGGGAGGCAAGAGCAGGGCTTAAGTAAATTGAATGCGGCCTAAAAAAACAGGCCGGAAGGCTGATTTGGGCCTTCTGACCCAATGGTTGCTGCTTTTGGCCACAAATGTACATACCTGTTATTCAAATGTTTCATCTTCGGTTTAAACCAACAGGCAATCTCCAAATACGACTGCCTATACGATACATCTAAATACACAATCCAATGACAAAAATTTCGGCTTAGCTAATTTCTTTGGAGTGACATGATAATACACCATCTACTTGTCAATTTTCCGGTTTATTAATTTCTATTTACTTTTCAATTGACATTGATAGCCAAAAGTAACCGGCAAACCTTCACGTACCTACTAATGTACTACGCGAAGGACATACTTACAAGCAAAAACCCTAAACCCTAGACCCTAAAACCCTAAACCCTAAACCCTAAACCCTGAACCCTAAACCCTAAACCCTGAAACCTGAACCCTAAACCCTGAATCATAAACCCTAGACCCTAAAACCCTAAACCCTGAACCCTGAACCCTAAACCCTGAACCCTAGACCCTGAACCCTGAACCCTAGACCCTGAAACCTGAACCCTAAACCCTAGACCCTAAAACCCTAAACCCTGAACCCTAAACCCTAAACCCTGAACCCTAGACCCTGAACCCTGAACCCTGAACTCTAAACCCTAAACTCTGAACCCTAAACCCTAAACCCTAAACCCTAATAAAATCATGTTTGCCTTTTTACCTCTAGAGTGAACTTTTTGTTGTTATCCAACTCCACCAAGCAAACGACCCCTTAGTAATGACTAATTAGGATGAAATGAGTTGTTTGCTAGCTCGAGCCAAAATTTTGATCGAAATGATGAGCCCAAACTCAATAAATGAGTTGTGTCGTGTTCGGATCGTATTAGCTCGTTCATAAAAGAGCCGAGAATGAGTTCGGCTTGGCTCATTAAAATGGACCATGTTTCTTTGGAGTGACATGATATTACACCATCAACTTGTCAATTTTCCGGTTTATTAATGTTTGTTTACTTTTCACTTGACTTCTATAGCCAAAAGTAACCGGCAAACCTTCACTTTTCACTAGACTTCAATTTTCCTGGTCTAGGTCTCTGAGTGGAGTTGCGGGTGACGATGGTATTCCAGGCTTTTCCCGGCATGGCAAGGTTGCAACGGCAGCTAGGGTTTTGATTTGTCTACTTTGGGCTCTCTGTGTTATGTGTGGCACTTGGGCTTTTCGGGTGGGCTTTTGAATTGCTTATCTGTATTGTTGTTCTCTTCATTTGGGCTTGCCCATACTTTGTACTCCTTCCTGAATCTGATTTCGTCAAAAAAAAAATAAAAATAAAAAATAAAAAAAACAATCTTCCACCTGTCTCCAATCGATGGAATCGTCGACTCTCTCTCTCTACTCGTCGGTGTTAACACGGAACCGCCATCGCCTCTCTCTTTCTCTCTCTCTCTCTCTCTGATTGACGACATGCAATGATTCAGGTACTATTCAGTTGATGGGGTATCCCACTTGAGCAGATTGGATGTGTCTCAATAAAGTAGCGAGGGAACCAAGGTAGTTTATCGGGACTGCCATTCCCATTCCTGAGAAGTTTAGCAGAACAGTCTTTTCCCATTCCCTCCATTCCCTTTCTCTTTGGGGTATAAATGAACAGAGTCTTTTCCCATTCCCTTTCTCTTTGGGGTATAAATTGATGTACAACATATTATTCTCATATCCGCTCCAATTCTCAAAATCACCCCACTTCCATCCGTGTCTTCACCTGCAATTCTGCAAATGTCGAAGTCGAACCCATCTTCTTCGTGGATCGCCCAATTCAAACCGGGCGACCGGGTCGAGATCAGCTCCCACGACCCCGGGTTCCGCGGCTCCTGGTTCGCCGGCACCGTCGTCCGCCGCGAGGCGGAGAACACCAATCGTTATGTAGTCGAGTACGACCAGCTATACTAGGACGAATCTGGGGAGAAGCTGCTGCAAGAAACCCTCGATTGGATCCAATTGCGTCCGCTGCCGCCGCCTCCCGAGAAGAAGAAGGTCCAGTTCAAGTTTGGCGACGAAGTGGAGGCTTTCCACAGCGACGGCTGGTGGGAAGGGGCTATTACTGCGGAGCACTCCGGCGGGAAATTCGTGGTGTTCTTCAGAGGCTCAAAGGAGCAGATTGTATTTGAAGAGAAAGATTTGAGGTTGCCTGTTCAGTGGGTTAAAGGGAAGTGGGAGCCGCGATTCGAACAGGTTCAGCGGGAGAAAGAGGTGAGCTAATTCGATTTTATGACTTTTCCTGCTCCGTTGCTTGGTATAACAATTTTAGGGAATTTTGAATCTCGATCTAGTTAGGTTGAGGAAAGTAGAGAATTGGGTGATCAGAGATGGCATTTGTTCTTTTTCACAATGTCTCAACCTCGTTGAATCGCTTCATAAACATGCAGATGTCGCTAGACTCAAATTGTTCCAAGGAACTGATGAAGTTCACTCAAGGAATGCAAGTCGAGGTGCTAACTGACGAAGACGGTTTGAAAGGTGCTTGGTTTGCTGCAACAATTATTGAACCTTCGGGTGAAGACAAGTACCTTATTGAGTACAAAACCCTGACGAATGATGATGATACTGAGTTTCTCAGAGAAGACATTCGTGCTTGCAACATAAGGCCTTGTCCACCGGAGATCATTGTTGTGGATGGATTCAAGGTGATGGATGAAGTAGATGCTTACTACAACGAGGGCTGGTGGGTTGGCGTGATTGCAAAGGTTTTGATCAACTGCAATTACGTGGTTAACTTTATAGAGTATGATGAGAAGATAACGTTCAATCAGGCTGATTTGAGGCCACATCAGGACTGGTTAAACGGCAAATGGGTTGTTCCTTCAGATGTCTGAATTTTATGCTCTCAATTCTAAAAACACTACTAGCCTTTGTTCTTGCATGTGGTCTTTCTCTTTCGGTGGTGTCTGTTACCGTTGTGCATCTGATGGTGGGTGTCGGTGGTGGGGTTTGGTGGTGTTTTTTTTTCCTTGCTTCTTTTTTTTTGGGTCTGTTGTTTTTGGTGGCTCCATGTTCTCTTAGACTAGCCTACAATCCTTCCTGGATTTCGGTCCAAACTCTCTATCACATTCCTATTTTGTAATGAAATCTGTCCGCCACAACTACTTATTTTATTCTTGTTTGCTCAACTCACAATTGCAATCATGTGGACCTTAAATTTGGAGGCTGATTTGGGCTATAATAAAGATTAAGCCCAACGAAGCAAATTAATGGATAATCTCCAACTTAATGCTAACAAATTAATGACTAATCTTCCAAAAAAATTTGATAGACCCCGTATTAAACCGACATCTTTTAATTAAACACTTTAACCAAAAATAGTTTACCGATCAAGAACACAAAGTTATCATGCCCTCTATTCCCTCACCACACGTTGAAGAGCCAAGCAAAGGTATAATTGTCGTTTCAAGTAATTAATCATTTGCTAGTGGTTTGTATTATTTGTTTCTTTTACATACCACCCAAGCCATCCAAGTGCACTCCCATGGCAAACCCACGTGGAAAGTAATGAGGCAACTATGTATTTCCACCCCATTTTTCCTCTCATGGTCGGGTATAGACCAAACTAGTAACAAGCTGAGTCACCCTAGTTGACCACCCATGGAGAGTTTCTCCAATGACATGCACGTAGCAAAGGAAGTGATGGTTGACTTACATTTAGTTTCTTTGCTTGACAAACATAAATAAGGCCCTCCAATCTTTCCCTGTAGACACGTTGACATGAGGTGGACGATTACAATCAAAATGAGTTTCTTCAGAAACTCAAACTAGATGAGCAAACACATGAGCTTGGGACCACAACAAAGCATACAAATCCTCCTTCAACATATCCGAACAAACTAGAGAATCCTGTCGCATCGTATGTGTCTGACGCATACGAGTCGTTTCCAAGAGTGAACTTCTTGTTGTTATCCTACTCCACCAAGCAAACGACCCCTTAGTAATGACTAATTAGGATGAAATGAGTTGTTTGCTAGCTCGAGCCAAAATTTTGATCGAAATGATGAGCCAAAACTCAATAAATGAGTTGGGTCGTGTTTGGATCGTATTAGCTTGTTCACAAAAGAGCCGAGCATGAGTTCGGCTTGGCTCATTAAAATGGACCATATTTCTTTGGAGTGACATGTTAATACACCATCTACTTGTCAAATTTCCGGTTTATTAATTTCTGTTTACTTTTCACTTGACTTCTATAGCCAAAAGTAACCGGCAAACGACCCCTTAGTAATGACTAATTAGCGTGAATCTTAGAGCCATTTTTTAATAGTTTCATTCTCTCCTTTCCGATTTTAATTTCTCATCGTATGAAAAAGGAAAAAGAAATTCGAAAAGTGCAGGAGGGAACATTTGGAGCCTCTTTTTTCATTTTTCCGTAAAATTTCCCTCTCTCAACGATTTTAGTTTTCCACCCTATGAAAAAAATAAAAATATTGCCAACCCAACTTTACCTTTCTAACTTCCTTCTCTTCATTTCGTTCTTTCACCTTGCTTGTTCGTCAACCGGCCGGAGTGGAACCAAACCCTTCCCACAATCGTCAATTCGTTCCTTCTCCTTCTCATAATCATATATTGTAATCTCAGCCAAAGGTCGGGTTGTCGATTTTAGTTTTGGGTTCTCTTCCCATCGACGGCGGCGCTGCTGCATGCGAGTCCTGATGGAGGTATGTTCTAAATTCTCTGTCCTTTCTCTCATTTGTGTTGGTCTATCACTGATTTGGAGTTTTGACAGAATAGCCTTTGTACCAACGCGGAGTGAAGTTCTCGGGTCCTCAATTGTCCATCGACGAGGATTGTAATCAGATCCAATGAATCAAGCGGTCCATTCAATTTTTTTCGTCTCTGCTCTTGATTTGATTGTAGGCTCGATAATTTTTGTTTCTGACCTCAATTAATTTCCATTGGCAAGCTGTTCGGATTGTAATCAAAGCGTTCAGAGTGGTTTGAGACCTGTGGCTGTGGTTGTTTCTCGGTTTTGCTCTGTGCTCGGTTTTTGACCTCAGGTTCGTTCTTCTGCTTAGTGCTTAGTGTTTAGTTCCAAGCTAGATATTTTTTAATACAGAGTGTTTTTCGTGTGTGCACATGTGGTTGAAGACATTGTATCTGAATATCGGTTACTGACTATAGACCTGTTGTGCAGGCATGTGGAGCTAAATAACATGTTGAAAAGGAGTTGTTAAATGAGACTGATGTTTATGATGTTGTGGTTGCACTTGTTAAGCTAGCTAGAAAGTTATCTTGTTCCTCTTATACTTCATAATGTTCAGTTTGTAGTTTATAATTGGTTCAAATCATAATGTCTAAATTGGAATTTTTGGATTTGGCACTCCTTATGTTTCCTTCTTTGGCTAGATGGGCGTGCAGTGGTTTTCCAAGAAGAGGACAGATGTGCCACTCCGCTTATGCACACCGGTAAGTTTCAAGTATACCCTTTCTTGGTTTGCTAGGTCTTAATGAAAATGATAGCATCGTATTTGCACGTGTTTTCACTCTGGTTTCCTGTCCATTTTGGCTCGAATTGATTGTTCCTTGGCCTATTTTACGCTAGGTTGTGTTGTTTTGTCGTATTTCAAGTCCTAGCAAGTAAAGAGGTGCATAGGCGCAAGTTTCGGGTCATTTGGAGGTCAGATGGCGAATCACAGACAGAATTACGGGCAGCCCCTGCCAAATTACGACTGTAATTGGCCAGGGCATGCCCGTAAATTAATGGCCGAGCCTTCTCCCCAGAATTTCCTCTCGGTGATAAAATTACGGGCAAGACCCCCAAGAATTACGACCGTAATTCCCAAATTACTGGCGGTAATTGGGAAATTACGGGCGTATCTCCTCCTCCGGCAGCTTAAGTGAAACGTGCGTTTTGGTGCGAATTACGGGCAGGACGTGATTACGGTCGTAATTCTGCTCGTAATTCGCCCAGAGTCGGGTTTTTGGAGGCAGATTCGAGCCAAGGAAGAGGGATTCGATTTTCTGGAGCAAAAACAGAGTTTTAGAGAGAGAAAGAGCGAAGAACAAACCCAAGGAGCTATTTTGGAGTGGATTTCTCATCATTGAAGCCCAGATTGTGTCCCTAGGAGTGAAGATTGACATCCCAGAGCAGATTTTCCTCATCTTTATAAGTATGACTACTCTGATTTCTGTTTTCCTTTCTCTCTCTATGGAGTAGAACCTTTCTCTCACTTGGGTACGAAGAACCCTAGTTCCTTGTGTTAGAGATTTGATTGTAATGACTTGGGATGATATTACTGTTTGATTTTAATCGAATGATGCATGTTTATTGAATTGATTGGAGTCTGATCAGCTTTTCTCAATTTCTGCTGCAACCTGAGATAGATAGAATCTGATTAGGTTGTTAGAGCCTCTTCATTCGATAGTAGAGATTGGCTATACGAGAGTTAGCCAGTTTACTGCTTTGTACTGGAATTCAATTCCAGTAGTGGAGTTCTGTGCTTATTGCTTCAGCATTCTATCCCGGTGAAGACTAGTCGTCTGCCGGGTAGTTAGACTGAGAGGGCTTGGTCAGCTTAAGAGATTCCAAGCTACTGTCGGATCTTCCGCAGTCTAATCAACAGTAAATCAACCCAGGGAATTACAATTGAACCTAACTAAGGGGCTAGGGGGACTCATTCCCGAGTGACTCTTACCTGCTTTAGAAAACCGAACAGTTTACTGCTTTCTTACTGCTTTTGCTTTTAAACAACAATCACTCGAATTAGTTTGCTAGATAATAGAGAATCACGGAGTAAGCAGTAGATCTAGACCCCGGGTTGATAATATAACTTGCCTGTTACTGCATTCCCGGACTGCGATTTCACTTGGTCGCAGTTTGGTGTTGTGTTTTGGCGTGTCAGAAAACAAGAATAATAAACTGAACACAAAAATAATCTGGACCAGCAAAAGTAGAGGCATACATTGTTGATTGGAAAAGAATTTTAATGAACCTAAAACATGAACAACCAGGACCAGAAAGTATGAAAATACCCAACCAAACATCATAACGTCCTCCAATCAAAGAACCTAACTCGTCCATAGAGTATCAAACAAATGGCCAGATTCGAAATGTGTCTCCGGTTATTAGAATCCATGCCAATCTTTTCAACTAGCCTTCTTGCTGCTCCTCAGGCCTTCCCTTCTA